ATGCCGCATGAATCAGACCAAGCATAGTTCTAGGGGATAAGTGCAAATATGAAATAGTAAAAAAACATTTTGGGGTTTTCAAATTTTTCATAAAATAAAAATGTATTGATTACAACGACTCATCCTACCGAATTTAATCATAAAAACTAACAGACTCGAAAAGGGGAACTAACAGACTCCAACAGAAAGATGAAAATACAAACTCGAAAACAGACTAACAGACTCCAACAGAAAGACGAAAATACAGACTCGACTAAAAATCATGAATACATCAATACCTCAACTGCTCCGGGGGTCCACGGGATATCAGTTGGTATCGCCACGGGCCTATGTGCCAGATCCCCTTAGAGACGATAGAGATCCCCCATTATCTGGCGGACAAAGATCATTATAGTGGCGAAGAACACGGATCTGGTCATGTTCTCACACTCACTGCATTTCATCGTGATGTAGTCGGCAATCCTTCTGACCCTTTCTCTCATGACGCCCTTTTCTTGCAACAAACGCCCAATCTACTGAGATCTAGCCTCTAAGATCCGGGTGGCGGTATGATTCTGCTCCTGCAAGTGCTGTAGGTCTCCCTCTAACTGTGCCACCAAAGCGTATCAATGTTCTCTCTCGGCTTTGAAACTTTTGTCTTGTTTAGCTATTTTACTTTTGAGGTTGCTAATCTCCTTTTCCCAACATGTGACCCCTTTTTCATATCTTTCTTTCATCTGTTGAATGAAAGTTGCCCGTCCCTCTGTGTTTGCCCGAGCTCTCGCCAGATTACCCTCGGATTTTTCCAGATCATCCTCACACTCAGCTATTTTCCTCTTGAGTCCCCTTATGAGTCTTTCATCCTTTTGGCTCCTTTCCTGATTCTCGACAACTATTTACATTTTTTGAATCTGTGCTCGAAGGGCCTGGTTTCTTGAGCCAATTTCTTGTTTTCCCCTTCATCGGCAGTGGCCTATTCACTTTTGTCAAATTTAAGATCCCAGATATGTCCCTCCAATTTGCTTATGATGGCTCTGTAGTTTGCCTTCTTTGCCAACCAATCATATTGCTCATGCGCTCCATCAGTGAATTGTTGGGCATCGGACCTTTTTGCAAGTCGTTCAGACTTTAGATGGGTTTGGGACCTTTTATTGTACCAAGCTGTGTAACTAGGCTCCAACTCGCCTCTGGATAGATCTCGTACCTAAGTCTTTGGCTCTAAGAACCTGCATTGATGCCAAATTTGACGCACCCTTTCTTCTGGAAAAGAAGCTTTTGGTTCTAATTCGATAACTTGCCGACTCAAGTCCTCATCATGTGGGATGGTCTGGTACCTGCCTAACTGACATAAAACTTTGTGCGGGGCATAAGGCTAAATGCTTCGGAGGCCCATCAATAGAAGAAAACACACCTCGACCGACATATAAATGACTTCGCTGACCGAGAGCCACCCGAGTGTTCATTCAATCTTGTTTGCAGTTAGAGAGCCCAAGTGTGCATACCATGTTTCTGTACCATCCGAAAACTCATAGCCTTCCACTTGTTGTTCATGTTTTTCAATGCATTCAAAACCGGTCATGCCACAGTTCATGTATCCCAGAGGGTAGCAAAGGTGTTCCTCCATCCAGAGTTTTAAAAGCATACATCCTTCAAAGAAACTTTCCCCCTTCTCAGCAGACGGTCAGAGCTCGGTAAATCTCCGCCAAGATCATTGGTACAATGGTGCCATTTGCCTTTTTAGTCCTGAAATCGTCTATCCCCACAAACCCCAACTCCATGTTTCCATCTTTTCTTGGACAAATCAGAACACCTAGGAACGCCGCTATAAAAGCTAATCCTCGCCGAGCTTCCCACTTATTTTTGTTTTTTGAGTGAATAAGACCGGTATCTGGCATCTCAAAACCGTGGGGATTCCCGTAACGTCGATACAAGAAATAGAATGTGTAGAATTCCTTGGCCAGATTTCCGTCTTGAACTTCCCAGCTGATGCTTAGCAGGTCCAGAAACCTATAAGGAGTCAATGTCCTAGGTGCCACCGGGTATTGATTTCTTAGATTCCCACTGAAACCAGCGTAGCCTGCTATTTCCTCAAACGTAGGAGTTAGCTCAAAATCAGTAAAGTGGAACACATTATGTGCTAGGTCCCAAAAGGATATCAAGGCCTCAATTATATCCTTCATTGGCTAAATCTTCAGAAGCCCAACAAGACCACCCAAAACCTTTATCACAATTTTTCTGCTGACTTCTCCCAAATCATGCCAACACATATGTAGTTCTAACGGGATCTCCTCGCGAACTGTGAAAGGTTCATTTTCAATTGTGCTCATCCTGCACATTTATTTAAGGTGATTGATTAAAAGACTGTGATTTATTTTGACTCAAGAGAAAAACACCCATTTTTGCAAAATTTTAAAAACAAAACATTCTTGCGAATACAGCCCTTCAGCACCTCAAGATAATGATAAAAAAATAATTTTAGGCTGTTTTTGTTAATCAACCAAAATTTGGAAAAGGAACCTAGGTGGCTATTATTGCAAAAATAGCCTTCCGGCGCCTTTTAGGGCATTTTTTGCTATTTTGGACAAGAATGGCGCCACCTAATTTATTTATGACAAAATAGCGACACCACATTTTTTGGGTTATTTTTGCAAAAGTAGTTGGACCCGATGTGGGTTGCCTACGTATCCCACATCCGGTGAGAATCAAACTTGCGTAGTTCGGCCTATTTTGATGCAACAAAAACACCAACTTTTAAAATAGCTTTTTCTTCAGAAAATTTCGGCAGAGTTTCGGGGTATTTTGGACACTAGGTTTTCCACAGGCGGGTAGTTTCCTCTCTCTTACCTCAATTTGGTTTTTCTCAATTTTTTCCTTATTCTAGAAACCGGTCAACATGCATTCCGAATCAAATAAATGCGCAAGTAGCAAGCAAAATGCATCAGGATGGTCTTTTGATTTCAGGTGCACCTGTCCTAGACGGACCCAACCCATGTGTTGAGTCCCCAAAGTCAAAATACATGATGCAAACAAGCACTCCTACTAGGGATCCGGCATGAAACTATGTTATACTAGGTTCAAAACCTGGGTTTATTTGTTCTAGACCTGGTTTACCCGAGCAGACAGCTCGAGCCGAGGGGGGCAGCGTACCGGGAATACAGAAGTTTCACCGGCTTTGCAACTTGTCTGAACCTCGTTCTATAATTGGAATGACTCTAACAGAAGAGAAGTCACATGAAGTGCACACTTCCTAGATGATTTAGAAGACTCAGAGAGAGGAGGGATTCGTAGCAATTTATATACAGTTCAACAACATCAAAGCGGTAAAAAGCAACATTTAGCACATTAGGCCCAAACATGTGAATAAAACCAGATAATAAATAAAGCCAACTATAACAATTATTCTAAGCTCGAATTCTTGAACCCTGAACCAGAAGTTCTGGGTCCTTGTCCCCAACGGAGTCGCCAGAGCTATCACACCTCCTTTTTACTACCCTGAAAGGGTATAAGGAGTTTTTTCCAACTTAAAATGACAATCGAAACGGAATTTATTTATTTAAAGCAGAGTCACCACTTGGGATAATTGATGGTGTCCTTAGTCACCGGTTCAAATCCTGAATCGAGGAAAGATTGACTCTGTTTTATAGTCCGCGAACAAAGAAGTTCTAAATAAGAAATTCTGTTAACCCGAGTGAAAGTGTTAGGCACCCCCAGGTTCCGTAGTTCTAGCACGGTCGCTTTAATTAATATAATTGGCCTATTATCTGATTTTAATACATGTTTTAACCTATGATACAATTTTAACTTATTAAACCGCTTTTAATTATTTTTAAGAGGATTTAACATTATTTAAAACACGCCTTGAACCACGCCACATGAAATGCACTCGCGGTCCATGACACATTTTATTTAACGTTGTTGAGAATTGGAGTTGGGTCACATGAAATGTACACCCGAGTTTAAGGAGATAAATTTAAATATCGCGCTTAAAGCAACTACGCTCTTTCAAGTTTGCGAGGGCCATAGAAAATTCACTAATGGCACACCTCAATTTCTAACTTCAAAGGATATTCGAACTACTTTTGAGGACCATAAATTATATCTTGCCTAATATGGCACGCCTCAAATCTAATTTGTTCAAAATGTTCTTTATTTGAAAATTATGAGGGCCAAAGACTATTGGTGTTATTTATTATGGCACCCCTCACACCTATTTAATGGAATCCAATTAGTTAAGCACTATGGGAATTTGAACTCTTGTTTCAAGCGAATGGCTCAACCCAAACTCGTTCATTAAGAGACTGATATTAAAATAAGACAAGTATTCAATTATAGGGAGAGGCCTAAACTAATAGCAGGCCCAGTTGCTATTTGGAACACCCCATATCAAAATTAAAGAAAAGCAGATGGGCTCAAAATGCAAGCCCAAAAGGGCTGGAAATACAAACTTCCTATTTTCGAATGGATTCAAAATCCTGGCCCAAAGGCAAACAAAATTTTTTAAGATGAGGCAGGGGAAAAGCAGGATTCGAGATCGAGTCCTTCCAGCTTGTAAAAAAAAGGCACTTGAACTTCAAATCTAACAACAGGGGTCTGATGGGTTTTCCATAATATACAACTGTATAAGTTTCATACTCAAATCAGTCCTCAACTAATTCATATGCAATTGTGAGATTTAAACCTCGATTAAACCCCTCTTCAACACATACAATAGCAAATCAACCTTATGAGACTATATGTGAACAATTGTACAATTAAACATTATAACCATTCACAATTAATCTTACTATCGAAACATAACCAGCCTTCAACTCAATTTTCATCAGAATACTTGACAGGACTTCAAAACATGCATATGCTTGGGAACATGGATTCAACATGGAATACAACTTAAATAGACTAACTACTGATTTATGAACCATTCAGTGATCAACTCCATGAAGTAAAGTGTTATTGTGTACCACAAACATGCTATAACATTCCAAATGAAATACAAGGCAGAGAGAGTTCAAATGCAGCCCACATTACACTATTTAACATGGTTGATTGCAGAATAGCTACTGATTCGACTAAGTAGGTTGTTCATCACGCTTCTATCATAATAGTCTAAGATCAGATACAATGGTACGAGTTCAGTTGTCAAAACCAACATCTAGCTAAAAGATACTTGATTGAAAATTGAATTCCATGCTAAGTACAGATCAAATACAGCTCTTAAGAGAGTACTAGCAGCAACAAGACAAAATACAATGCATCAGATAAATTAGTACAATGTAATTCAGAAAAGTAAAGCTAAACTATGAACAAGTAAGTTGAGGCTATGCTTAAAACTCAAGATTTCAACTCCATACTTCAAATCGAGCCTCACATTAGGCAGGATTCAGAAACATATACCTGAATACAGCAAAATAAACCAAAAATAAAACCTAAGATTAGGAGGAAGCAGCAGCAGCAAAATAGCAGCAATGTAACAGTATAGAATCGACAAAACAAGCTTCAAATTCTCGACCTAAATCCAGACTTTTAAAACCCAGATGAGCTATTATATTAAACTTTTGAACTTCTGACTTATCAAAGGGAATTAAAACTCAAAAACCAAGCAAAATTCAAGCAATTTCCAGTACTTGAACTTGAAAGAAAAACTCAGTCGTTTTTAAAGTTTCAATGCTTTTTCAGTCTCTAAAACTCTGACATGGGAGTGAAGAAATAGCATTTTATAGAGAATTTTTAGGGCAGCAGAAATGAGTTCAGTTTTTGCTCTTTAATCCTTTTTCAATTTTCATTTTTGCTATTCAATCCCTAATTCAAAAATCAGCTTTTCAAAAATAACCCCAAACCCACCTTCCTAGAAGTTTCCCGAGTCAGTTATACAAGATTCCTTAACTTAAAATTCCTAAATTAACCTTAAACCTCTGTTATTTACCCTTGGAAACAAATGAGTCAAATTGACCCATGACCTACCAGATATTGGTTTACCAAACTCGGCTAATCCCCTTTCCTTTGGGCCTCTGATTAACAGAGCCCAATTCAAAATCAAACTCAGTAAACCAATGGGCTAAACGGAATTGCCCCAAAAAAATCAGAGTTCCTTTCTTTAGAAAACAAGAAAAAATGAAATAAAACAAAAGAACAAAGAAATTAAAACAAACATGAACTAATAAATTTTAATTTTAAACATGCGAGCAAAAACTGATTCAAAACGGAAAAAAATAATAGAGAAAAGAAGAGATGAAGTAAGAAGAGATGAAGACTGGAACTAAACGAAAAAGAAAACGTAAAAAGACTTGAAATACCTAAACAAGAAGTGGATGAACCTCTGTCATTGCTTTGAACGGACCTCTACTATCCCGATTTCGAGCCGAAATTGGTATTCGTCGCGGGTTCTTGTTAAAAACAAGGGAGAAACAACAATTTAGACCCTAACCGGTCATTCAAACTTGAAGAAATCAAGAGATTTTTTCTTTTGTTTTTCTGTCTTTTTTTAGATTTGAAATCGGCTCTGTTTTGTGACGATTCGAGAGATATTAGTTAGGGATTGGGAAAAGGGAGGTTGTGAGGATTTTGGGGTGTGAGTTTGAGGCTGGTATGAGCCGGCGCCGCCGGCCGGCGAGTGGAGAATTCAAGGGCGGCGGCTTAGGGCTTTTGAGATGAGGGAGATGAAGTGAAAAGGGGTGTTTGGGAACTGACGTTGTCTTTGGGGAATTTGGACACTTTTATGTATTTGTGAGGGGCCTCCCACGACCGTTGGATGAAAGGATATGAAGGGCTCAGATTGAATCTAAGTGGGAACTCAAAACTACGTCGTTTGGGTACTAAAAGGGCTGACCGGGTTGGGGATAGAATTGGGCCTGGAATTGGACGGGTTAAGGGTGAAAATTATTTGGGCCTGGAGGAATTTTAATTAAAATGGCCCAAAAATCCGAACTTCTCATTTCCTTTTTCTTTTTCTTTCAATTTCAAAATTCTTTTTCTTTTCAAATTAAAAATAAAACCTAAATTAATTCCTAAACCAAATTATCCTACCAAATTAGATTAATTACTCAAAATAATATTTACAACAATTAATTAATTACCAAATAAAAAGAAAATTACAAAATTCGAAGCTAAAATTAAAAATGCCAAAATGAGTTTCTTTTGTGATTTTCCTATTTTTTGACAAACAAATTAATTTACCAATTAATTTGAAATGTAAAATTAAGTCCTAAATGAAAATTCAATGTATTTTTGTATTTTTCATGAATTAAAATTAAATTAAACATGCACAAGCAAATGCAAACAATTAACAAAATTTTACAAAAATCTACGAAATTGCCAATAATGGAAAAAACAATTTCTTGAATTTGTGGGAGTAATTCACATAGGGCAAAAATTACGTGCTCACAATGAGTAGGAGTGTGCATCGGTCGGTTCAGTTCGGTTGTGAATATTATCGGTTTAGCATATCGGTTATTGGTTTACAAATATGATAAACCGATAACAGAACTGATAAGATATCGGTTATCGGTTAATAGGTTATTGAACATTATCGGTTCGGTTATTGGTTTACCCGATAAGATAACTCAATCTAGAGTTAAGCAAAAAAAAAAAGACAATGCACTAGAGTTAAGCAAAAAAGGGAAGAATTCACATATAGCATACTACCCATTTTTGCGTTATGGCCACAACTAATATTTGAAGCATGCTTCATTTTGACAAATTCAAGACCTGTGCAATCTCAAATATTGATACTACAACTCCACAAGCATTCCATCTCCAATTCGCTGGAAATAGCAGTTAACAGGAACATAAATAATAATTTTTTGGTTTCCTGCCAAACCATAATCAAGAGATCAATGTCTTTTTTCAGAGTCTAATTGTAGCAAGAGCAATAAGAGTACTAGTAATCCAACAGTTGTCCAAACACAACTGAAATAGTACTAATTTTTATTGGGTTATCGGTTAACCCGTTAAGAAATTGGGCAAACTGAGGCCCGAATCGATAACCCAATAGTGAAAAAAAGTTTAAAACGTTAACCCAATAACCTGATATCGTTACCCCAATAAGCTTTTTTCGGTTCGGGCTATCGGTTATCCCCGATATATGCCCAGCCCTATTCATGAGGACACATTGTAACACGCATATCAAGGCAATATACTCTTATTTTCTATGTTATTCAGAGTTCTTACTTTTATTCATCAGCTCTTCATTAGTGTGAGCCCAGGATCGGAGGCAAGCATTTCATTCAGCTGTTACTAAGTCTGGGGTCACTCCCCTGAATTGATTTTGTAATTTATTATGTCCTTAACTGTTTAGTCTAACGTCATTTATCATTTCCATTGAATTAATCCGCGTATCTTTAAAACTACTTATAAATATAATTGTTATCCGCTTTTGAGGGTAAATAATTTGGCGCCCACCGTGGGGCTGAGGATAATAGCAGCAATTTGATATAAATTTTCATAACACACTCTATTTTACACTTGTTCTTTGAGCTTTTAATTTCAGGTCATATAAAAAATGTCAAACTTCCAATCTGCCAATTTGAACGTCGATGCTGAGTCTGGCGACCATGGTGAGAACAACAATGTGGTACCTAGTAATGAGGTGCCCCATATTGACCCCAACGGAGTTTCGGTCGCGGACCCGATCGATGCTAACTCACATGTAGCTATTGATGCAAACTTGCCTACCAGTGTTGATTAAATCCCAGGAGCTCCACTGATACTAAAGGACCTGGATTCCAAGAAATTTGTTCAAAAACCTTTCCCTCCTAGCACAGCTCCGAAGCCGATCCCGAAGAAGTTTTGCATGCCCGAAATTCCAAAGTATAATGGAACAATTGATCCAAATGAGCATGTGACCTCCTACACATGCACCATCAAGGGAAACGACTTGGAAGATGACGAAATAGAATCCGTTCTGTTGAAAACGTTCAAAGAGAACTTGTCAAAGGGAGCCATGATATGGTATCACAATTTACTCCCTAATTCTATTAACTCGTTTGCTATTCTTGCGGATGCCTTTGCAAAAGAACACACCAGAGCCATCAAGGTCGAGACCAGGAAGTCAGACATTTTCAAAGTAAAGCAAAGAGATAACGAGATGCTCAGAAAATTCATGTCAAGGTTTCAAATGTAATAGATGGATCTGCCTCCGGTCACGGACGATTGGTCCGTTCAGGAATTCACCCAAGGACTCAACCCCCAAAGCTCATTGGCTTCGCAACAATTGAAACTTTTGATAGAATATCCGATGGTAACTTGGGCCGACATCCATAACAGGTACCAATTGAAAATTAGGGTCCAAGACGATCAGCTCGGGGCCCCTTCCGGATCTTTTTATCCCCTCAGAAGTAGTGATAGATCCAAAAGAACGGTCGATCATGAACCAAGATCGAAAAAGGATTGGTATCAACCATATAACGGAGATCGAAGGGGAAATGGGTCTGCATGCGACCTTTGGAGGAGCGAAAGAGGGAGCGATCGAGGCCATAATAATCGGGGACTCATGAGCAAAATCGGTTTCTACAGACCCACCGGGTCTAAAGAGGCACAAAGGTTATCGGAGTACAACTTTAACATTGATGTTGCCGGCATCGTATCATCCATCGGACACATCAAAGATACTAAGTAGCCTCAACCATTGCAGTCTGATCCTGTCCAAAAGGACCCTAACCTGATGTGAAAGTATCATGGCACTCACGACCACAGATCCGAAGACTGCAAACAACTAAGAGAAGAAGTAGCCCGGTTATTTAATAACGGACACATTCGAGAATTTCTGAGTTATGGGGCAAAAACGCACATCAGGAATAGGGAATCCAATAAATAGATCGAGCAGGAAGAACCTCAGCACGTAATTAACATGATCATTGGCGAAGTTGACATCCCCCAAGGACCAATGTTAAAGCGCACTAAGGTGTCCATTACAACGGATAAACGAACTCGAGATTACGTATCGGAGGGAATTGTATCTTTCAACGACGAGGATGCTAAAGGCATCGTACAGCCACACAATGATACACTAGTATATCTATACTCATAAATAAATCTCGAGTTAAGCGTGTGTTAATTGATCCAGGTAGCTTGGCCAATATCATTAGATCGAGCCAATTGGGTGTACAAGACCAATTAGTGCCCGCAGTCCAAGTTCTAAACAGATTTAACATGGCATGCGGGATTACTAAAGGGGAGATAACCCTGATAGTAAACACCACCGAAACCGTTCAAGAAACAATATTCTACGTGATCGAAGGAGATATGAGATACAATGCTCTGTTTGAAAGACCATAAATTCACAACACGAGGGCAGTACCCTCGACACTACATCAGGCATTGAAATTCCACACACCGGGAAGGATCAAAATAGTTTATGGAGAGCAGCCAGCCTCAAAAGAAATGTTCCCGCTCGATGAGGTGACCTCAATATCCGCAAAAGAAATGTTCGTGGTCGAGTTTGTGTACCAAGGAAGAAACCAAATAGCAATCACCGACGCTCGCCCCGACCAAACTAGAGAGGCAAGAGATGGGAGAGGACGATGATTACGGAATCCCTAGGTCGTTCATAGCCCCTAACGATTCCGATGCCACCAAGTCGACGGTCGAGTAGCTGAAACAAGTCATATTGATCGAACACCTGCTCGACTGGAAGGTATACCTGGGCACGGGACTAACTCCCGAGCTCAGGAAGAAACTCATCAAATTCCTTATAGCTAACATAGATTATTTTGCTTGGTCCCATCTTGATATGACAGGGATCCTGCCAGAAATAACTACTTATAAGCTAAGCTTGGACCCAAAGTTCGACTCGGTCAAACAGAAGAGGAGGCCCCAGTCCTAGGTCAAGCATGCATTCATTAAAGACAAGGTATTCAAGCTCCTTAAAATAGGTTTCATTCGAGAAGTTAAGTACCCAGATTGGTCAGCAAATGTAGTAGTAGTCCCTAAAAAGGGAAATAAATTAAGAATTTGTGTAGACTACAAAGACTGAACAAGGCATACCCCAAGGACTCTTTTCATCTTCCCAACTGACCGCATGATCGATGTGACGGTCGACCACGCGATACTCATCTTTCTTGATGCCTGTTCTGGGTTCAATCAAATCTGGATGGACTCAGACGATTAGGAAAAAACTTCTTTCATCACTAAATTTGGCACCTATTGTTATAACGTAATGCCGTTCGGATTAAAGAATGTTGGTGCCACTTACCAATGCCTAGTAAACCGGATGTTCGAAGAACTAATAGGAAAATCAATGCAGATTTAAATTGACGACATGTTAGTTAAGTCCCTACGAGCAGAGGACCATTTGGAACATTTGCGTGAAACCTTCAGCATACTGAAGAAGTATAACATGAAGTTAAATTTGGAGAAGTGCGCATTTGGTGTTGGGTTCGGGAAGTTCCTCGGATTCATGGTGTCCAACCGAGGAATCAAGATTAATCCTGACAAATTAAAATCTATAGAAGACATCACCATAGTGCACAATGTCAAGGCCGTTCAGAGGTTAACCGGGCGAATAGCAGCCCTGGGTCAGTTCATATCAAGGTCTTCCAATAAAAGCCATCGGTTCTTATCATTGCTAAAGAAGAAGAAGAAGAAGAAGAATAACTTTTCATAGACCGTGGAGTGCTAGAAAGCTTTGGAAGAACTTAAATGGTACCTTTTGAGTACACCCTTACTTCATACCCTGAAAACAGATGAGCAATTGTAACTGTACTTAGCG